TTAATGAGTTTATGATTTTCACAAATAGGTAGATCAATTTTGAGTTTTAGCAGTGGTTGAAATTAAAATAGAAATAGCAACATTTTTTTATTCTCCCTATAAAGCAACTAATTATTTTCCTTTGGGTAATGATAATTAACAGAATTCCTCTTGTGTTCCTGATCAGTGCACAGCTGGTACTCAGATAATCACAAAAGCTTGGTTTTTTGTGGTGACATTAAAACCCTAACTTGGCAGAGTACATTAACTATATCCAATTGTCTTAGCTTATTAATTCTAAATTATGTCTCAATGAACTTCTCAAATTGGGAGCAACATTTATATTAATAAATGATAGTCATGGGGAGAGAGTTATCATGAAAGTCTAGTAAGTGTAGATTTCTCTCTGTTCCTGATGTAATAGTTGAGTATACAACTTTGATATGTTTGAATAAGTTCCAAATGAACACCTCATCCACTCATAATATATTTTTAGGCATTCTTCTTTCAGTTAATCACAAACATGGGCTACGTAGGACTGAGTCTGGGGTGCTGATTTGTTTGATGCACTGCCCTCCTTACTCTTTCACCTCCTCTGAAGTATAGGTTTGGACCAGAACTGGCCCAAAAGCCTAGGGGTGAGCATCATTGAGCAAGTCGCTGTGCTGCTTCTCCATGCATGCACTTCCACGAGGGCTGTGTTGTCCCTCACATCTTCTGTGTAACAATCCCATTAGTGACAAGGAATATGTTTTTATACCTTTTAATTTCTGAGTTTCAAACACTGCTTGGGAACTAAGAGGTGCTCAGGCAATGGTTGTTGGATGCCTGGAAGGCAGTAAGAAGGAAGAACAGGCATGGATGAGAATATTCCTGGCTACTAGAGGAAGTTTGACAGTGACTGGCTAATGTATGGAATTGAGCTTCTGCTTTATGTGGAAGAAGCCATGTTTGTTCTTGCAGGGCCTTAAGAAAGCCAGCAAATGCTATTTCCATCCTAAGCTGCTACTGTGGAAATTGTTAGATGGAATCATACTCTATGCTGGGGAGAATAGGTGAAAGGTACGTTCATGTAACCCTTTGGAAAGAAATTAACAGTATCCATCAAGAACTTGAACTTGCATAGTTTGTTTTCTTTAGTCTCATAAAATATAGCATTGGGAAATCAATTTTAATTAAATAAATCAAAATCAAGAAGTAGCTTTTTGTATACATAGGTATGCAGCTCAGATTTGTTTGAAATATGAAACACTAGAAACAATCTTAAGTTTCCAACACTGTGGAAATGGTTGGTGAAATCTAGCACGTTGGCTAATTGGTGCTTTGTTTGCTAAATTAAAATGTTTCCCACAATTTTATAGTAATATGAAAAATCCTTATATTCAGGTATAAAGTTGATACATCATCATTACAACTAAAAGATACCAGATATAGAAAAGTCCTGGAGGAGAACATTATTAAATGTAATGATAGAAGAGACTAGAAGAAAATTCATCAAAATATTAATGGGTTTTTGGTCACATATTTGTTCATTTTTGTTTTTATTTTGCCAACTCTATTAGTATACCCTTTTAAAGTACAAACTAAGTTCTTTTATATTATTTATATAATTACTTACATATGAATTGTACAAATTAACGGGATCATGGTGGTATTTCCATACACACATACCTGTATCTTTGATCATATCCACCCACCCTTCTACTGGCCAGGCACCCTTCTAGTCTCCAGTGGCCCTCTCCTAGTAAAACCTTTTCATATTGTCTCTTAGGTGTCTTTTTTTAGGAATACCTGACCCTGTCCTGTCTCCTGTCTTCCTCATTTCTATGACACACAGCAATTGGATCGTGACAGACATCTCAGTACCGTCTGATAAATTGGATTCTTTCTCCTGGGAATTTAGAATTGGGAGCTCAGAGAAAGCTAATCAGTTTTTATGCATGCCTTGGATTGAAGAACAGGCAAATTTTATACTGAAGATGCAGGAATCTTCCCTCCTTGGCATAAAAAAGCAAATTTTCAGAAGAAAATAAGAAAGCATACAAACCAAAAAAAAAGTATAAGAGCTCATAGAACCCCAGAGGGAAACTGACTTCCAATGACTTCTAGTTTTTACTTCTAGCCCCTCATGGGGCCTAGTGAATACCATGAGATTTCTTGTGCCTTTCACTATGTTATTTTTTTCCTCAAGTTGGTTACTGTTATCAGCAATCATGTATAAATAGATAAGACACCATTGTTTTGGGTTGTTTTTAAAATGTGTGCAATGAGAATATATTATTATTATAACATTAGTAAATATGACCATTGATGTAGTTTTAAAAATAGACATTTTATCGAGAGCTTTTCTGCCACACAAAGAGCAAGTAAGGAGTAGAAGACATTTATGACCATAGGATTGCAATATTTTGTCTGATTTTATTTTTTATTATTGGGAAGCTTGATAATTTCATTTGCTTCTAACATACAGTTGTGGGTTACACGGCCTATTCTGCTGTCTGGCCTCTGTCTCTTGACTCTTGGACAGGCCAGGCAAAAATTTTTTGCCATCAGCCAACCTTGGAAATACTGATGGATGAAAGCATCAGTGGAAGGAGAAATTGTTTATAGTATAATATTAAATAAAACATAGCTACAAAACTATGCCCAGTACCAGCCTAGTAATATTAAAAATTATGAGTAGAGAAGCAGCCAGGAAAGAAATATGCCTCGGTGTTAACTGCGGTGCATTCTAGTGTGGCTGTACAGATAACTAGAGTTTTCCTTTCTGTACCTTTTTGTATCTTCCAAATTTTCTATATTGTCCATGAATTTAGTTGGTAATAAAATAAAATTGAGAATTACACGTTTAATAAAAGAAGAGTAGCCATGATCACAGAATAACTCAGTAGCATCTATTGTACCGTCCAATGGCATCAGTGTAGGAGTCTAAGACAGAAGGGAGCACCAGCAGCTGGATCAGTTCCTGACGAGGGCATCTGAGGCATGGAGCATGCTGGCTTAGAAGTAAACATGGCTCAGCATCTGGCCTCTTCTCTTTGCTAGCTGTATAAACTTGGAAAGTTACCTAACCTAGTTAGCCTCAGCTTCCCCATTGTAACATTTACAAAATCTGTAAGTTGAGAGTTCGAAATGATACAGCATTGCACCAATCATTTAGCAGAGTCACTATGTCATGGTAAATGGTCGTGATGTTTTTGGTTATTACTGGTAGGTGACAGACATAAATCTTCCTCATGTGCTCCATGAATCCTCCATTTCTACCTGCCAATCCCCAACTACATGGTGTGTATTCTGACTTTCATTCTTTTCTTCTAACACCTGACATGTCCTTCCTCCTGTATTTCTATTAATTCCAAAAGTAGGTAAATCATTGCTTTTCAAACTTGAATGCTCAGTGAGTCACCAAAGAATCTTTAGGCTCTAGTTTTGTAGATCAGGGTGTGCCCATGATTTGGGATTTTTAATCAGCTCCACATGTGGCTGTGTGCTGCTCTGCAAGACCACTTTTAGTGCAAGGACTAGGATGACCTGGCTCAAACTCAGCATCCATGTGAAGTCATGTCCGGTGTTCCTAGGGAGGTAGCCTTTACCTTTTCTGGCTCTCCAAGCACATTATCTTATTCTTCTAATTTAACATTTTACACATGCAGCCTGGTTTGGTGCACTGCCCTGTGTGGTTCTGTTTATAGTAGGCTCTGTGCACATCTCCTGAATGCTATCAGCACCTCACAGGGATATGGATGTCACTCCAGCCAATGACCATCAAATGATTGAAGTGGATGAAAAAGATAAAATGATATCTCAAAACAATAACATTGGTTTTTTGTTTTTTGGGTTTTTTGGGGGTACCAGGCATTGAACTCAGGACCTTGCACTTGTGAGGCAAGCATGGTGCCACTGAGGTAAATCCCCAGGCCAATTACGTTGTTTTTACATGAACATTAACTTAGAAATTATCAACCTAAAACTCAATTAGTGGAAATCATGGAAGACAGCAGTCATGTAAATAATCCTAAATGGCAAACACATGGGCATATTTTTCTTCTTTTAAAAATGCATTATAGGGGCCGGTGATTTAGCTCAGTGGTTCTGCCGCCTACCTCACAAGCACAAGGTCCCTAGTTCGATCCCCGGTACCAAAAAAAAATGCATTATCGATTACAGATTGGAGAATAGATTCTTTGGGATGACCAGGCTAGTCTGGGATTGAAGCATGATCTCTGGGGGATCCCGGAACAGACCGCCAGACACAGTGGAGGAGCAAATCAGCTTTTATTATTAGCTGGTGGCTTCAAGGGATTCAAATCACCTTGAAAGCCTGGAACAGAAGTTTATTCTAATTTTTATACCTTTATGTTTCCATGGAAGAGGGAAATAGCAACTGTAGTCACTGGGGAAACAGCCATCAATCTAAACATAATTACATAAGCAGAGGGGCAATGAGGGGGAGCAGGAGATTTGGCAGGGCTTTCTGAGATTGCCTTGCTCTAGTGAGTTTGTATTACAGCAGTGGCTATAGTTACAATGTATCTTTCTCAGAAAGCATAGTTACATAGTTACCCCATAGTTGCCCACTTTTACAGGGGAGATGGTTTTGGCACTCAGGATGACATATATTTCCACAGACAATCAAATAAAGGGGTGATGATTTTTTTTTTTTAACTTTGAGCCCAACTTGGGTCATGGTCGAAATGGGGCCTCCTGGTGGCCCAGAGCCTGAAGTTGGGTCCCCTTGCACAGAGGCTTTGAGCAGTGTGTCCTGGGGGAAATGTGGGGTTGCAGTCTGAGCACATTCTTGCTGGTGGGACGCAGGCAGCGGGCCTGCCTGGTGGTGGGGTTTGTTTGGCCTTGACACGGGCCATTTACTGGACAATTCTGGCTTTGTTCCTCTGGAGTAACTGCCATTCCATTTCAGAAGAACTTTTCAATTCTATTTTAAAAATCCACTCAATACAAATAGAAGAGTAACTCTGTTGTTAGCAACTGTTTACAACTCTACACTTATGTCCTTCAGAAACCTTAAAGAATTTTCCTCAGTGCCCTGAAAAGTAGATAGTTGGATATATTGCAAAATTTTTTTAATACTTGACTCCAAATCCTTACTATAGCTGTGATGTTCTTATAAAAAATCACTTGAGGAAACTTAGCAATGATTTTTTTTTTGAGAAATGGTCTCAGTGGGGAAGAGGCTTATGCCTCTCTCTCTCTTTTTTTTAATTTAGTGCCTGTCTCTTCTGCTGGTATCCAATATTAGTTTCAGAGTAAACAGTATTTTCCAAAGACTGACAGGGTCAGCTGCTCTGGGAATGTGGCTGGTGACCTCTCTAATGGATTACTGTCCCTGCAGGCGCCTTCCAAGTCAGTTAAGAGGTAAGTGTTCTTTCTGTGTGTGCAGGCTGCTTTGGAACTACTGATAAAACTGAAAATATATGCTGGGTCTGCTGTCTCAAAGGGCACAGTGCTGTTACTTTCGGGACAGTGATCTGTCGTGTCAACGTAGGCAGGACAGCTAAGCTGCTGGGCTTAAGGGAGGGGTGAGCGATAATGCTGAATCTGGTTGCTTTGATTGAGCTATAGAGACACAGGAAACTTTTAATCCAGAGTTCTTTTCTGAAGATAGAAGCATACATTTTGATTCTATTTGAGTTCTTTATCTTAAAGCCTTACTTCTTTAACTGGGTTTATTGTCTTCACTCCTGAAATAGTAATTGTGTGTGTGGGAGGACTAGGGAGCATATCTACCCTTCAAAAGAACTGTAAATATATCAAGTGCATGTGTAAGAGCAAAAACCTATTCAATCACACACCTCTGTGAATATCACCATGAATAAGAAAAAATACACTGAGAATTAAAAATGCAAACTAAAGCATAGTTGAGGAAAAGAAATAAGCTGGGCTTGGATTCCCAACTGTTTGTGGTTAGATCTTATAGACAGACTCTAGAGGGATGAATTTAGTTTCATAACCAAATGATTTTTATTTAGAAATTACCAATATTGATAGTATTAATATTTTCAAGCTCTCATATTTTATTTTCTTCCACAAATTTTGATAAAAGTTTGTATTTTTCAGATGTACACATTTAAAAAGAGTAATAATTGTGGTAGTTCTCATCTGATTAAAATATTTTCTAATACTTCAAACAAATGCTGTACCTCAAAGTGGTTTTATGAAGAGCATGTCCCTCATGTCGACTGGAAGTCATTTAAAGATATCACCCAGAACAAAAATAAGCGTTAAGATAATATCAGAGGTAATCAAAAACATCATATCCCAATAGCAAAGGCTTTTCACTGAAGAGTAGTAATTATAAAGGTATACATTTGTCAAGCTGTCATTAACATAATTTTCACAGAGTGATATTTGTGTGTTTGCTTTTGTATATTTTTGGCAGTTTTGACTTACAAAAATGTTTATTATATAGTGACACATCCAACAGTAAGAAATTGCTCTACCGATGCTCTCTTCTCACCAGCTCTGGGCCTGCAGCATATACAACTTGCCTGTTGCTGGCCTGTGGAAGCCAGAGGGTCACTGTCAACATGGCAGTGATGAGAAGGTATAAGTCTCCTGGTGCTTCCCTGCCTGCTGGCTATCCACACAGACAAGATGGTGAGAGCTGGAGTCCCTCAGAGGGCTGGCAGCTGCTACTAAGCTTTGAAGATGTCAAAGCTGATAAAGACTCAGGTAGGGGTGCTAGGCAAGTAGGAGGAGGTGGGAAGCATTCTCTGGGTCTCTGTATTTTTTTTTCTTCTGGTAGTATGGATCGAAACTGGGGCCTTCACACTGAGCTTCAACTCCTGACCTTTTCATTTTTTATTTTGAGACAGGGTTTTGCTGAGTTGTCCAGTCTGGACAGGAACTTACAATCCTCCTGCCTCAGTCTTTTAGAGTGCTGAGATTGCAGGCATGTGCCACACACCTGGTTTGGGTCTCTGTATTTTGTTCTTCAGTGCACTCCTCACCCCCACCCCGTGATGTGATCATGAAATGGAACAGAGGTGTAAGGTTAAAGACAGAATGAAAAGCAGCCCCGGCAGATCAGAAGTTAGCTGTTCATGTGAGCATCGTTCTCTGTGCAAACTATCTTTGCTTTGGCCCTTGAGTGCCAGCAGAAGCTGGACTCCAGATATAGTTCTTGGGACAGGGAACGGCTTCCAGAGATGTGTGCAGCATGCAGCATTTGCTCCCCGCTAAATGAGCATGCAGGCTACATGGCTTCTAACTTAACTCGTGGAAAGCATATGGTGTCCATGTCCTGGACAGGCCATGTGCAGGGATGAGCAGCCCATGTGAAAGCATCAGCTGTCTCAGAACAGGCCCTGTCTTAGTAAGAAGGTGCTTGGAGCACACAGTGCAGAGGATCCTGGGTCAGGGTTCTTTCAAAGACAAACTGCTTTTGTTTTTTACCCCCTATGGGTGCATTGTCTGTCCCTGGAGGTTGCAGCAGAAGATCCTGTGCTTTTGTTGCAAAGAGCAATAGAAAGTTCACTGAATTGCAGGTGTGGGTAAATCACTATGAAAATGGCCCAGGCAATGAACAAGCAGTTTTAATAGTGCAAACTTTACTTTTGTCCTGTTTCTAATACAAGCACAAGAGCACAAGCTACATATTCAGTAAGCGTGTGGCACTGCTACAAAGGAGTGGAGCCAGGCCTCCAAGGGAAAGTCCCTGTTTGCTTTGCTTTTGAACAGAGTTCTTGCTTGGCCCTGAAGAACAGATTTTTAATTTCCTGTTTGGAGAGATCCATTGCACACATTGTATCCCTGGGTAAAGAAAAGGAATTTCTAGCCTAGAGAAAAATTATGGATATCTCTCTTTTAATTTAAAAAATACCTTTATTGAGATATATAATTTACATACCATAAATCCCACTGTTTTCAGGTGTAGATATCATCCACTGGTTTTGAGTGTGTTCACAGAGGTGTGCAGTCATCCTCAGTATCTAACTTCAGAACACTTTCATTACCCCAAAAGAAGCTGTGTACTTATTAGCTCCTCTTCTGCCTTCCTGTCCCTGCCCCTGGAAAGCAGGAATGATCTTTTCTTTTTTTTTTTTTTTTTAGGTATGATCTTTTTGTTTCTATAGATTTGCCCATTCTGAATATTTCTTATAAGTTCATCATGTAATATGTGGCCTCTTGTGACTGGCTGCTTTCACTTATTGTATTTTCTTCCATGTGCTTGTATAATAATACTTCATTCCTTTTTATTACTGAATAATATTTCCCTATATTGATGTAAATGCCTGTGTCACCATTCAGATGTTGATAGACATGTGTGGTTTCCACTTTTTGCCTACTTTGAATAATTGCTTCATGAACATTTTCAGAGAAATTTTTCTGTGGAAACATTTTCATTTCTCTTTTGGTAAACCTGGAAGTTGAACTGCTGGGTCACATGGTGATTCTGTGAACACCTTGTGGAGGAATCGCTGCTCTGTCTTCTGTAGAGTCTCTACTGCTTTACAATGTCCAGGGCAAGGTGTCAGGGCTCCACTTGCTCTGCATCATTGCCAACGTTTGTAACCTCATTTTTTTTTTTTGGTACCGGAAATCAAACTCAGGACCTTGTGCTTAAGAGGCAAGTGATGGAACCACTGAGCTACATCCCTGGGCTCTATTGTAACCTCATATTTTTTAAGTGTTTGGCTCACAGCTTTGACTTATGTTCCCCAATCACTATTACAATGAGCATTGTTTCATGTGCTTGTTGCTTATTTGTCTTCTTTGGAGAAATATCTCACAATGAGATGTTTTCTGATTGAGTTACTTTTTATTCTGGATAAAAGTGCTTTTTTTTTTTTTGCTTGATTTCTTTTATTGATACATTTTAGGTATACAGTACATTTACATTTATCATTGAGATCTTGTACCTGTACATGACGAATCTTGGTTCTTATTTTTTTCCCCATTACCTGAGTGCCCTTCACCCCCTCCAACCTGCCCTATTTACATAGACTTTGTTTCCATTTTTTTCTTTTCTCATAATTTTTCCTTTCTCTTCTTTCCTTTCCCCTTCCCCTCCCACTTCCTCTATCCCTTTGACCTTTTCTTCGTATTTCAAATTATCAATTATTCGTTTTAATCATTTTAACCTTTATTTACACTTTCAGTTTCTCACACTAGAGAAACTATTCGGTATTTACACATGTGT